CTTTCCCTGGAAGGAATCCAGAGTGACAGGGGTTCCCTTTCTTGAAATCTAAGCAGCTGTACCTCTAGGGCATGTCCCCGTCACCTGCCCAGGCATCAAACCTTTGGGGAGCCATGGGGCTGTTTAGGTCCTTGAAGATCTTCACCTGTCCTGGCAAGTACCGCTTCTACGCTGGCCATTTTTCTTAATGCTCTCACTTTTATGCCACAAATCCGGAAACACTTGTGAGGACCCAACCGCAGCATGACGGGCAAACTGCTGGTTTCTCTGTTCTGGATCAGGCATGAATTGTCTGTCCTGTCCAGATTAGGGAGACTAAAATCCCAGAAGCATATGGTGCTTGTGGTCATGCTGCTGCTCAAGGGTGCTGAACACTCGTGTCCTGAAGAGCTTTCAGACTGCCATTAACTGGAGTCTTGCTCCATTTGGTATTTGTCACATGACCCCACACTGTTTGAAAGGATTGCTACAAAGAACCACAGGGCTACCTCAGCTCTACAAAAGTGAATCTTCCACTGTGCAGATGGCAGATTCTGGGGTGCAGGAATGTGGGTAGCAGTCAGGGATACTGCAGTCCCAGGGTCATTCAGGCAGGCTGCCTTCAGCCTTAGACTCTGAAGTCCATAGAGCCTCAGAGGGCAGAGGTCTTTGCTTAAAAAGTTAAGATTAAATAAAACTCAGGCTTGGGATCCTGCTCTGAAAGTACCAAGCACAGTCATCAGGGCCTTCAGGTGCCACTATCCTGAAGGACAGATAAGGGCCCATTTCAAAGGGGTGATCTTGTCTCCAGAGCCACAGGGTTCCACAGTACTATGAGAGAGCCCACATGCTGCCCTCCTCTCACATCCTCCTGTCATGGTGTGGCTGGGACCACAACACTATGGCCACATTGTTGTAACCTTAAAACACAACTCATGTTCTCACACTGCCACCCAGCAGACTGGCTCCATCTCCAGCAGGTGGCAGAGGCAGATCCTCCACCTGCAGTTACCACCACCCACTCAACCGCAGCTTACACACTTCTCTATCATTCACCTCACTGAGAGCTGATAAAAGCACAAGGTCCAGACAAACAACGAAAGAGACATTTTATTAGCATTGTTATAGCAATGCATTACACGAAGGGATCCTCAGTGCACAGCCCACCCGAGCTGCAAGCTGTTAAATCAGAGAGTGAAACTGATTATTGTACACAAGTGCAGATACAGGATCACCCTGAACCTTAAACAGAAGACTGAAAATCACTTTACAAAAAAAAGTAAATAAAAATAACACCCTTTTTTCTATTTAAAAAAGTACCAGCTCTTGAGTGGCAGAACGTGGAAAGACCAAAGGACTTGACACCCCATAAGCTTTGACACTCATGTGTTGAGCTGTGGAGCCCATGGGAGTCAGGCCTGTCCTGGTTTCTAAAGCTTAATTTAAGCATTCCAGATTTTCAGCTTTTGAAGCACTTCTGTTTTAATTTTTTTTTCTACTAATTTCTTAAGTGTATTTAAGTCTAACAGTTAGCTAGCCTTCATCAGTTGTAAGTGTTAAGAACAGAGGACCTCCCTTTGTAAGGCTTATATCTGAGTCAAGAATGAAGAGACCAAACACCGGAACCTTAAAAAGCCAAATGATAGTGGAGCCAGTGCCCATTTAGAAAAGCACTCTTATCTCACCCTTAAAGTTCTACTTTGGTAAATATTAACATTTAACCAGTTAGCAAAATATTTAACCCAGTTAGCAAAATTAACACCGTCATTTCGATACTCATTTTGTGCATAGTAAATGTTGCAAGATGAACTTCACATTGGATAAAGCAGATTTGAAAATCAGTTTGCAATAAAGTGTGCCTCCCTCAACATCAATCTAAGCTCAAAGAAATGAACAGAGGCCCTGCAGCTGCTGCTAGTCTGCAGCAGCACGGTGGTGCTAGGTGGTGCTAAATCGTCTGGTAGCCAGCGTGGCTCCTCTTCCTGCCGATGAGGTAAGCAATGAGGACAATGAGGACCAGCCCTGCCAGGGCGCCACCCACGGCGATGGGGATCAGCATGTTGTTCTCATCCAGCTGACATTCTTCCACTGTGGAGACAAATGGGAGAACACCACACGGACTTTACAAAGAGGCCACTCCTTCCTCCCTACCTCTGCCCACCGCTCTATACCAGGGAGGGGTCTCCAATTCCAATCAACTATCACTTTCCACATGGATAGCAAATTATAGACATGTCTGAGTGCAGTGCAACGCCTCTGAACCTTTCTGGAACACTGAACTCACCAGGCAGGTAGCATTTTCATATCCCACTCTCATAGGGAGAAAAGCCATACTATTTCATAAAATGACGACCCTTGCTCGAATGGTGACGTGTTCACATCTAAGATATGCCGGGCATTTTGAAAGCGAGATTAACACAGAAAGGATTATTTGCTCTAAAAATTTCTTAGACTGGGGAAGGGGCCCCCATCCCAAGCTCCTCCTTGCAACACAGAGGTTGTTAAATATCTAAACAGAACTGAAGCCTGTTGAACTCCACTCAGAGTCTGAAATGCTATCCTTGATGTTACTCACCAGACCCAAACTTGTCACCTTCTACGTGGAAAGCCTGGACCCAGACTTTGAATACGTTGACAGAAAAGGCCTCTGTGACCCAAATGTGCTCCTCAGCGTTACACTTGTAGGAATTCCCCATAGTGGCCTGAAGTGCTCTCAGTGAGCTGTTGGCAGCCCTGAAGTTGGGATCTGTGGAGGCACGTGACAGTAAGTGCTCTGGGGCACCTGGATGGGCATGTGAACTGGGGGCGGGGGAGAGGGGGGTCTTACCTCTGGCATCAGGAAGAGTTGTGTTCAACTGAATTTCTTGTAGGAAAAACCGGCTAGAACTTGCATTCTTAAAGAGAAGAAGATAACCCTTAACCATTTACCAGATTCACATGTTTACTGGTAAAGCATCATTTGGTAATAAATTCAATCTCCCATGTTTCTAGCTTTAGAATGAAACTGCAAAGTTTCTTATCTATAAAATGGCATCTTATAAATCTCAAGAACACAAATTTTGATTGGTTCCTTCCAGACCTTTCACAGTATCAGATTTTCTGCTAAAATGAAGACCGAAAGAACTATATTCCAAAAAAGTAAACTCTCCCTGATTGTTTACTGAATTGTAGGAAAGTTAAACTTTATTACAAGAAACCCAATTGTTAATCAGTTCATTTGCATAGAGTATTACAAATATTCATGAGCTACATTTCTGTTTTTCCCGTATTGTTAATTTTACATATGATTCTTCCCAGGCAGGTATAAAGAAAAAAAGGTACAGAACGCAGAAATGCTGCTCTGGGGTAAAGGAGCGAGGACAGTGTCTGAGGCAGGAGGCCAAGCTGAGCGTTTACTCTGATACGTCTCTTCTCTCTCTGCAGCCACAGACTGGCTGCAGTCTGGTATTAACAGTGGCTGCTGGGCACACAGCAGGTACTCCCTAATGTCTGATGAATAAATGTATGAAAGCTCATTTATAAACAAAAAGGGGGAAAGGAGAGCTGAGAATCCAAAAATACCGACAAAAAAGGGAAGGCAGAGAAAAGGCAGAGTTGTGGGTTTGTCGAGACCTGTGCGATTTTCACTTGGGCTTGCTCACAGTGTGCTCAGTTTAGCTGCTGCAGCCATGAGGCACCAAGGCACGAGAAAACGTGGTAGAAAAAAACCACAGTGAGATGCATGCTAAGATGCCAGGCTGGTCTGACACCGAAGCCCCTTAAGTGACAAAGGAATATGGACCCCTCACCATTCCAAACTGGAAGACTAGGAAAGTGCTGCTTTCACTCTGGAGCTCCAGGGTCACCAGCTGGTCAGTGCAGCTCCCACTGACATGGGTCTTATTTGGGTTGATATTGAATACTCTTGTCACAGCCTAAGTAAGAAAAGCAAACAAGTTACCATTCCATCTCACATCCTGGGTCCTCTATTCTGGGGGTGGGGTGGCGGGGGAAGCTATCCTAAAAACAGTAACCTTAAGGCCACATTCATTTTAACCAAAATCAGAAGAAAAATACTTGAAGTTTACACTAGTGCAGACTTCTGGATTCCTACTACTTCTGGTTGCAACTTTCAGAATGACACATACCTGTGGGAAAGATGTAGATCCTAGTGCCATTCTCATCCTGTCTCCCAATGGTCATACAGTTTATGTCCATCACAAATAAGTTACCTGCCATGGCCTCACAGACTTTGTCACCATTAAGGAGAAATATTATTTCAAAGGAAAAGTATAAAAATAATACTTAAATGTTTGAGTGTTAAAAGTTTAAACAAAATTTAACATTCTCCCAGAGGTCAACAAACTTGTCCTGTAGAGCAGAGGTCCCTAACTCTCTGGGCCACGGACCATATGAGTCAGTGGCCTATTAGGAACTGGGCCACACAGCAGGAGGTTAAGTGGTGGGTGAGCTAAGCTTCATCTGTATTTGCAGCCGCTCTTCAGTGCTAGCTAGCATCACCGCCTCAGCTTCACCTCGGATCATCAGGTATTAGGTTCTCATAGGAGCATCGATCCCTGGTGCCAAAAAGGTTGGAGACTGCTGCTGTAGAATGCCAAACACTACACGTTTTATGCTTGTGGACCACACATCAGTCTCTGTCGTGACCTGATTCTGCTGTTCCAGAGGAAAGCAGCCATAGTATGTAAAGGGGTGGGTATGGCTGTATGCCAATAAGCTTACTATAGACACAGGCACAGTGACTTGTTCTCTCAATTTACATTCTAAAAGGCAGCACACATATACTGAATTCCGATACTTGTGCACCAGCACTCCACTGCACAAAGAAAAAGCACTTCTTGAAGCTTCTCAAGCTTACCGTGCCATCCTTCTTCTTGTAGGTGATGTTCAGCTGCAGCCCCATGTTGGCCAGCAGACAGGTCCCATTGGCACCACTCACGTTATACTTGTACACTGAGGGGCTCTCAGGTATTGGAGATGGTGAAGGGTGGGGAGGGGATGGTGAGGGGTGGTAAGATGTTGGCAGCACTGTCGGGAAAGGTTCATCTTGCTCACAGCGAGTCTCTGGGGGGACAAGGAGGGATGAACCACACTGCTCACAGGAAGGAAGGCAAAGTTCTAGTTTCTTAGAATCAACAGGAGCTACAGTAACCCCGAGCTCCAGCTCCATCTCTCTGAGCTCACTGTAGACTCCAACAGACTATCTCAAAAAGCCCCACCCCAAAGAACATGCTTAATTTGCCCAAGGATGGCACATGCTAACACTGCTCTCAAAGTATAAACTTAGTGCCATCTGCACAGGATGCCTGGGAGAGCAGCAGAGGAGACCCCTGGAGGGATGGGCACTGGGTGGCCCTCCAGGCCAAGACGAGAGTTGAGACTCAGGTGCACAGGGCTAGTCATGTGCAGAGGGTTTTTATTTGGGGCAGGGCGGTGAGGGCACAGAAGACTCAGTAAGTGTGAAAGCGAAAGCTCCAAAACAGGAGGCAATACAGAAAATGAGGGAGGCTGGAGTACAGATAGGCCACAGCAGAGGGACTCAGTTTTACCCACCACCTGTTTCCACTTACTCTAAGCTACAAGGAAACTTCACTGTAACTCTTCTTCAGTTGCTGATTCACCTCTACATCCAACCTACTTAGGGGAGGAGATGGGAAACTTCACCCCACAGAACTGTAACACACGGGAAAATTTAATACTTTCTGGAAAGTTCAATTCACCCAGCATGCCTTCACACAATATAATTTTATGGAATAAAATGCCTTTCTAAACAGAGAATAAAGAGGATAAAGATAGGGGGTAAAACACCCTTCAAAAATGGATTTATCCTTGGGCTAATGGTGGCAGGGCAAATATTTCCAGAGATGTTCCAATCTAGGGTGTGCTGGCCAACACTGTCTGCATCTTACCCTAGCTAAGCTACAGGCTGACTTTATAGCCGTACTTTAAAAAATAGCTTCACCATTACTTTATAAATTGTTACAGAACACAACATAGTTAAATGTGCAAAACCACATCAAAACAAAAAAGAGGCCAGTCTCCAAATTCTGCTCTAGGTGGCCACAACACATGGGTGTGTGTGTGTGTGTGTGTGTGTGTGT